CCCCAAAACCCCAAAACCCCAAAACCCCGTGGTTGATTTTATCTATTAATCAAAAGTATGAATTGAAGATTTCAAATTAGTTATATAAATTATGCAATAACTAATAATGGAGACATTAAGTCTCTCAGGTCATTTAATAAAGCAATTCTAATCATCAATTATTTCTAATTTCCTTATTCTTTATAGTATCTATGACATTTAGAATGATACCATAATTAAAGTTCTCTTGATTCACAATTTTCTTCAAATATTTCAATATTTTCTTAGCAGATCTGAGACAATTTAATATCTAGGAATCATAGTAAATATTTTTGAAATCACTTTAAACTTTCATCGATTCAAAGTTTTCTATAATTGATTATGTAGCATGAAATGCAATTGCCAAAGGCAAATGGTGTAAATGCTCTTTATTTAAGCGAATATCAATATATTCCAATTTGATACTTATTGAGATATTTTCAATTGCTTTATAGAGCTAAATTTTGAAATCCTTGAGTTCGATATTTTATATTTCTAATTCTGTGAATGCATCTTTTACTTATTAGCATGCTTGATCATAGAATGAGCATCATGGTATTTTAAAGGAAAAAAATTTCAAGATCCTTATTTCCATATCATTGAAATCTTATTACGAGCAATTGTATTTTTTCAACCCGTCTTTGAAATCATTAAAATTTATTGTTTCAATGTCCCAATATTTTGAGGAAATTATTATGCAAGTTACTACTATTAAAGTCATATTTTTTTGGTTAGAGGCTATCTCAAAGTCTTTATGATCAATGCTTTCTATATATTTATCAAATAACTCTAAAGCAGACATTTTAGTATCTGCACAAGAATTTTGGGATTGATTTAGTACATAGACTATCTTCTATGTAAAGCAAGAATAAAGTACTGATCTTCCAACAGAATATTTGGAATACTTCAGTGAATAACAGATCTATCAATCTTAAGAATTTTCATTGCATTTTTATAATGTCTGATCTACAAGCTTATCATTGAAATATCCCATAATAATATTTTGACATTGTACTGTATCATAAAGTTTAGTTTCCAAGAGCTTACAGCTCTTTTCATTTATTTTTCCAATTAAATCTTCATTAACTCTTGAGAGATAAGTAGTATTTTTGTTGGAACTGATTTGCTCGTAATTTAGCTTCTAGAGTTATGTTCATCAATAATTTTTATATTCCTCATTTTTTGACTTATAATGAATAGTAAGACCCTGATTTAGTTTTTATGGCAGGTCATGGGACTATACAAAATTTTAATTGTTCAAATCCGCAAACTCAGCTACAGCTGGTTCATTTAGAGTTTAAGACTGCTTTTCTAATTCTATTTTGGAATGCTAGATAAAAGAGTTTAGTTGTTTGAATTTTTAATTGGAGATCAATGAGATACTTTCAGTCAAATCCTCTTCAAAATCATTATAATAGTAATCACAGCTTTCCTATGTAAGATTTTATTAATAGACTACCTCATTTTGAGATGGTTCTTCTTCAAAATCAATTAAATCTACTTCTTTTATAGTTTAAAATAGCATGTGTGCTTGGCTTATGTAAAATATTTTCAGATATATTTTTTTAATAGTTGAGTTAAGGTTATAATTAATAAATATGCTTTTGAAAACTTGATTTTAAGCATATCTCATTCAGCTAATATCATTATGAAATCTCTTCTCGGGGTTTTGGGGTTTTGGGG